GGCCCAGGCTGGATTCGAACCCACCAGCTCAGGTGTGTGTGGCTGGCGCCTTAGCCGCTTACAGGCACTGAGCTATATTTATTTTTATTTTTTATTTTGCAGTTTGGCTGGGGCTGGGTTTGAACCCGCTACTCTTGGATGTGGGGCCAGGGCCCTAACCACTGAGCCACAGGTGCCACCCTTTTTTTTTTTTTTTGAGAAAGAGTCTTACTATGTGACCCTGGGTAGAGCGCCTTGACATCACAGCTCACGGCAACCTCAAACTTTTGGGCTTATGTGATTCTCTTGCCTCAGCCTCCCAAGTTGCTGGGACTACAGGCGCTCACCACAACACCCAGCTATTTTTTGGTTGTAGTTGTCATTGTGTTTGGCAGGCCAGGGCTGGATTCAAACCTACCAGCTCCAGTGTATGTAGTGGTGCCCTAGCTGCTGAGCCATAGGCGCTGAGCCAAACTTTTTTTTTTTAAAGATACAGTCTCAAGCTGTTGCCCTGGGTAGAGTGCCATGGCATCATAGTTCACAGCAACCTCCAATTCTTGGGTTCAAGCAATCCTCTTGCCTCAGTTTTTCTATTTTTAGTAGAGGCGGGGTCTTGCTCCCACTCAGGTTTGTCTCCAACTCATGAGCTTAAGCAATCCCCAGCCCCCCAGCCCCCATCCCTGCCTTGGCCTCCCAGAGTGCTAGGATTATAGGCATGAGCCACTGCACCGGCATCATAATCATCTTCAGGGCCAGTGAAAATGGACTGCTGTGTGTACCCTCCTAGTATCTGACTGAGTAGTTCTAGATGGGATTGTGAATTTGCATTTTTAACAAGTTAGTGCTGATTCTGCTGGTCTGAGAACCTTTATGCAGGTACATAATCACTGGCAATTTCTTGGTTGTAAGATAAATAAGTCATTGAGAATTTTATCCTTGTAGAGCAAGTTAGGGATAAACAGTTTTGGAAACTTACTTTTTGTATCATCTTTGTTCATCCTTGATGCAGCACCAAGCATATTCTTTTGTTATTTGGGCCAGTGGGCTAATAAAATGATATAGTCAAAACATGAATTCTGTTTTTTTTTCTTTTAGGATATACTGACTTTTTTTCTTTTTTTAAAACAGTTTCACTGTGTCTCCCTTGGTAGAGTTCTGTGGCTGTGGGATCATAGCTCAAGCAACCTCAAACTCGGGCTCAAGTGATTCTCCTGCCTCAGCCTCCTCAGTAGCTGGGACTGCAGGCGCCTGCCACAGTGGCCAGTTATTTTTAGAGACAAGTCTCCCTGTTGCTCAGGCTGGTCTCAGAACTGCTGAGCTCAAGCAATTCATGGGCCTGGGCCTCTCAGAGTGCTGGTATTATAGGTGTGAGCCACCACACCCAGCTGTTTTTGATGGCATACAGCCTTTTCAAGTTGGGTGATACGTTTATGTTAAAACTAGTTTACATTCTGTTCCATGCAAGGAATGGGAGAAAGTATAAATATACAAGAAAGAGATCAGCTCAAGCATGCAAAATATAGCCATAGTTGAAAAATCACACACATTTTCTGTTGGTGTTTGATAAACTTAAGTTGGGTCAAAGTGCAGTGTTATAGGCTTGGCGCCTGTGGCTCAAGTGGCTAAGGCGCCAGCCACATACACCTAAGGTGGTGGGTTCGAATCCAGCCCGGACCCACCGAACAACAATGACAGCTGCAACCAAAAAGTAGCCGGGTGCCTGTGTTCCCAGCTACTTGGGAGGCTGAGGCAGGAGACTCCCTTGAGCCCAGGAGTTGGAAGTTGCTGTGAGTTGTGAAGCCACGGCACTCTACCCAGGGGGATAGCTTGAGGCTCTGTCTCAAAAAAAAAAAAGTGCAGTATTATAAAATTGCCTCTTAGCACTGAAGTTTCATGCAAACAGTACTGTATTATGAAATTATTTTTAAATGCAGTATTAAATTTGTGCTTATTTAAAATCTTTTCTTAGTCTTTCTCTGATATGCAGAAGTCTAGGAAGGAGGCTGTGCTGTTAGCCAAAATGAAACACCCCAATATCGTTGCCTTTAAAGAATCTTTTGAAGGTAAATATGAATTTCTCCAAATATGTGCATTTCTGCATTTGATATATGGCCAATATATTTCCTAAAGAGTCTTATGTCTGTTTTAGCTGAAGGACATCTGTATATTGTGATGGAATATTGTGATGGAGGGGATCTGATGCAAAAGATTAAACAGCGAAAAGGAAAGTTATTTCCTGAAGATATGGTAAGAGACTGGCTTACATAGTTTCCTCCAAGGTTTAGAAGCAACTTTTCTTGTAAACTTTGTATAAGTTAAAATGAAAACATGGGTATCTGTGATTACCTGACACATTAGTTAGAAATGACTGATTTCTTTATTAGTGTTTCTGTTTAATGTCTGCTAGATGTGGCTACCTAAAATGGTTTTAGGAAGTAAAATCAATTTATAGGTTATTATTCTAAGTATGAGAAATTCTTCCATACTTAGAATAATTTCAAAATTGTTTTACTCCTCATATTTTATACTAGATAATTAAAATCTTGACATTTCTTGTATTGAAATTTTAGAAGACAGGTAGATTTTATTTTGTATTACTAGATGATCAGAAGAATGACGTCTGCTATTTTTATTTCTTGGGAATACCTGTTTTTAGTCTTTTTTCCTTCTTAAGTCCAGAATGTTCCCTTAAATCGAGGCCTTGCTACCTTTTTAATTGTATACTAAATACCTTTGAATTGGCTAAGGAAAATATTTAAATAAACAGCTCCAGTGGGACTTAGTTTGATTTAGGTTGTAGTGTGTTTTGAAAGTATATCAATAAATGTAAATACAAAAAAAAATAAATGTAAATACATAGTCTTCATTTAAAATTTGTAAAAATATGATTTCCATGTCAGGAGGTCAACTTTGATGAATCTCTAAAGCAAGGATGGAAAAAAATTAGTTTGGCAGTTAATTGTAGGCCCCCAAGGCTCCTAGAAATAGTGGTTACTGTTGACTGGGGGTTTATAAGCAAAAAAATGCTGACCTCAAAGGATTTTTTATAATCTAATAACATCTTTTAATATTATCGTGTGAATATTCTGAAAAAGTAAATGAAAATCCAACATAACAGTTTTACTAGAAATGCTGTAGTATATTTATTTCTAAGTAGTGAGCTACCTTTATGCATTTAAGAAATTATTTTATTTGGTTAAATATAAGAAAATATACTAGAAGTGTTATAAATTGCATTTTGGATTATATGTAAGATGATGGAACATGATAATCACAGCTTTTCTGAATTCCTCCAGGTAATGCTGGATCTTAGTTAAACTGTGTTATTTTGAGGAGTTCTATACTCACATTATATAAAGCCCTCATCAACTGGGGCCTAGAGATGACTTTTGGAATTTTGGGTTAGAATGAACAAGTCATTGCATTTTTGCAGATTTTTTTATAACTTTTTTCTTATAGATACTTAATTGGTTTACACAAATGTGCCTTGGAGTAAATCACATTCACAAAAAACGTGTGTTACATAGAGATATCAAGTCCAAGGTGAGTGGAATACGTTTTTAGGTCCCATAAGATTTTAATACTGTATTTTTAGTATACCTTTTCTACATTTAGATAGATTTAGCTACACAAAAGTACTTGCCACTATATTACTGCATATAGGCAGTCTGCCATTAACCACAGTGTAGGATCTGGTGCATGACAGCGTATGGTGATGTGTTCTCAGCTCTTGTAGTGACCATTTATAAAGTCTGTGTGTTGACACGTGGGCCTGCTATCAGGTGAAGGCATTCTGACTCAGCTTCCTAGTCAGTTGAGTAAGTGTGGTGTTATGACCTAAAACTTTCCTGTTAGATTTTGAAGGAGTCATCCTCAATTCCATGCAGGGGAGTGTGCAGCCATGAAGAGGAGATGGCCCCATTCCACTTGGGGACTTAGCTGTCAGCATTTCTATCCTTGATCTCCCATCATCAGCAGGCTTTGGAAGATAGCTTCTCTGTAAATCTCTGCCTCATAGTTGAATGGTGGAAGACATAATCCAGGTTCTTCTTTTTAAATGCAGAATGTCTTCCTCACCCAAAATGGAAAAGTAAAACTGGGAGACTTCGGATCTGCCCGTCTCCTCTCCAAGTATGTAAATCTGTTCTGAGTAGTGACAGCAATCAAGACATCCTTCCAGGAATGCTGTGTAATCATTCTTTGCCTGTTTATGATTTTAGTCCAATGGCATTTGCTTGTACCTATGTGGGAACACCTTATTATGTGCCTCCAGAAATTTGGGAAAACCTGCCTTATAACAATAAAAGGTAAGTATATTGACTTGGTGTGTGGGTGACTGGTGACAGGCAATGTAGCCTGCAAACAATGCTGATTCTGGTGCCACTTTAAAGCAGATGCGTGGAACATGTTGGCTTTTTAAATATAGATTTGAAATTAGTAAGGAAACTATATTCTAGTCTTCTAGATGAAAATCATAGTTTCCTAACTGTTTTAATCAGAGGTGAGAGCATGATAAATGCTGAAAGAAAGGCTAGTCATTTCTGGGGATGGTATGAATTATATTGCTGGTTCCCAAACTTTGCTGCTCTGATTTTAAAAATCCAGAGCCTAGGTCGCATCAATACCAGTTAAATCAGAAGGTCAGCAAGCAGGGAGCGGGCATCAGTAATTTTTCAAGGTCACCATGTGATTTCTAGTATTTGGGAACTGACAGATTATGTCATTGAGTTAACATTTATATGACTAGATCATAATGACTTGATTGCTAGGTTAATTGATTATAGGAAGTTAATGTGAAGACCTTATGATATAAAACATAATTTTTTTTAACAGAGTCTCACTATGTTGCCCTTAGTAGAGTGCCATGGCGTCACAGCTCACAGCAACCTCCAACTCTTGGGCTTAAGCAATTCTCTTGCCTCAACCTCCCAAGTAAGCTGGGATTACAGGCTCCTGCCGCAACACCTGGCTATTTTCTTGTTGCAGTTATCATTGTTGTTTATATGGCCCAGGCCAGCCTCAAACCCACCAGCCTCGGTGCATGTGGCTAGCACTGTGACTACTCTGCTACAGGTGCCAAGCCAACATAATATTTTTTTTCTGAATATAAGTTATATGTGACTATTGTGGGGATGGGTAGATGGGGAAGATTGGAAATAGATGTATAAAACAAGAAATGAGGGCTGGCCACATACATCCAAGCTGGCTGGTTTAAACCCAGCCCAGGCCAGCTTAACAACAACGACAACTACAACAAAAAAATAGCTGGGCATTGTGGCAGGTGCCTGTAGGTCCCAGCTAACTTGCGAGGCTTGAGGCAAGAGAATCACTTAAGCCCTAGAGTTTGGGGTTGCTGTGAGATATGATGCCATGGCACTCATAGTAGACTCTGTCTCAAAAAAATAAATAAAATTTAAAAAAATTAAAAAAGAAAAGAAATGAAAGTCCCCCACTTTTCACAACTACTAACGTTTGATGTTTTTTTCTCCCATCCATTTACTTTTTCCACCTAGAACTAGATGATATATTTTACAATTAGGTCTCCTTTTTTTCACGTGATCTTCTATCAAATTAATTTCTTCCCAAATTCTTCTTAAATATTTCTTTTTTCTTCTTTCTTTCTTTCTTTCTTTTTTTCTGTTGAGTCAGAGTCCTACCTTATGCCTTGAGTGGAGTGCAATGGCATCATAACTCAGTGCAACCTCAGACTCGGGCTGTGGACATCCTGCTGCCTCAGCTTCCGGAAGCTGCTGGGATTACAGGCAATTGCTGTGGCAGCCGGCTGGGTTTTTCATTTTTTTATGAGTGGGGGTCCACTCTCACTCAGGCAAGTCTCCAACTCCTGAGCTCAAGCACTTCTCCCTCTTTAGTCTCTCACAGTGCTGGGATTATAGGCATGGACCATGGTGCCCAGCTTCTTAAATATTTCTAATGGCTGCATATATTTTAACATATGGCTCTTCCAAAATTTACTTAATCATTCCTTTGTTGTTGGCCTTATATTTCCAGTTTTCAGGATCCTAAATAGTGCTGTGATAAATATACCTCTTGTGTATAAATATTATTGTTTTATGTCACATTGTTAGCATGGATTCCTAGAATGAGAAACACCTAAAGGCTCTTGTTACTTTCTGCTAACTCATTCTTTGAAAATCTAAATAGATCTCTTTCATAGTAAAATTAACTGAACCAGGCATAAAATAGTTCTAAAAGGACTTACTGGGACAAGTGGGGGAATTCGAGTTATTTATTAAATGTTATTAGGCTTGACATGGTGGCTCATACTTGTAATCCCAGCACTTTGAGAGACCAAGTTAGGAGGATTACTTGAAGCCAGGAATTCAAGACCAGTATGGCTGGCATAGCAAGACCCAATATGTACAAAAAATAAGAAAAATTAGCCAGGCATGGTAGCGTGCACCGGTAGTCCTAGCTACTCAGGATGCTAAGGCAGGAGGATTGTTTGAGCCTAGGAGTTCATGCCTACGGTGTGCCAGTGATCATACCAGTGAATAGCCACTGTATTTCAGCCTGGACAACATAGTAAGACTGTATCTCTTTTTTTTTTTCTTTTTTTTTTTTTGCCATTTTTGGCCAGGGCTGTGTTTGAACCCACCACCTACGGCATATGGGGCCGGCGCCCTATTCCTTTGAGCCACAGGTGCCGCCCAAGACTGTATCTCTTAAAAAAAAAAGACAATATCTGGAGGATGACTAGTAGATGGTGAGAATGATGGCAGAAACAGTATGAATAGACCAAATTTAAAACTCTTCTGATTTGGAAGAGCTATTCTGTAGAAGAGTGAGTAGTCTTGTTCTGTTTGGGAACACAGAGCTAACTGAGGGTGGAGAGAGTTCATAGAGACACATTTTGGCTTTTTGTTTGTTTGTTTGTTTTTTAAAGAGACAGAGCCTTTCTCTGTCATCCAGGCTGGAGTGTGCAGTGGTGTGATCAAGCTCACTGCAGCCTCAAATTCTTGGGCTCAAACTATCTTCCTGTCTCAGCTTCCTAGCCGGGTGTGGTGGCTCATGCCTGTAATCTCAGCACTGTGGGGGACTGAGGTGGGAGGATTGCTTGAGCTCAGGAGTTCGAGGCTTGTCTGAGCAAGAGTGAGACCCCTGACTCGTGGAAAAAAATGGAAAAATGCAGTTGGGCGCCACGACGAGTGCCTGTAATCACAGCGGCTTCGGAGGCTGAGGCAGCGGCAGCAAGATGCCCACAGCCCGCGCCTAAGGTTGCAGTGAGCTATGATGCCATTGCACTCTGCTCAGGGCATAGGGTAGAACTCTGTCTCCACCAAAAAAACAAAAAACAAAAAACAAAAAAAAAGCCAAACAAGGCAACTGTTTCAGCTTCCTGAGTAGGTGGTACTATGGGCATGTACCACCCTGCCCAACTAATTTTTGTTTCTTGTAGAGATGAGGTCTCTGTTGTCCCAGCATGTCTTGAACTCCTGACCTTAAGTGATCCTCTCGCCTTGGCCTCCCAAGTGCTAAGATTACAGGTGTGGGCCACAGTGCTCAGCCACATTTGAGCTTTTGATAAGGAAGGATGCAATACCTTAGAGCTGTCCAGCAGGGAAATACCTCTGACCAAGGTAGAGAGCTGTCTGTCAGGAGGTCTCAGAGGCTAGGTGCTGTGCATAGGGCATTCTGAGTGGGAGCTGCACTGAATGTCTTCCAGAGTCCTCTGTCCAGCCATGATAATCTGAGTCTGCAAATGTTCCCTCTTGCTGTAGAATCCCCGTATGATACTGAAGTGATATCTGAACCACCCTGATTTGAATGGGTTAGGGTTAGGGAGCAGAGAGTTTTATTTGGACCATTACACTTAGTAAGTACCTAAGTATTAGACCAAAATTATGGTATGTTTTTATTTTAATACCTAGGAATTACTTGTGATAGCTATTGTTATTAAAGGTCAGATACTTTTTTTTATATTAGAAAATCTGTATTTTTTCACACAATAACTCGTAATCCACTTGTTCTTACCTTGCTTCCTTATGCTTCCAGTGACATCTGGTCCTTGGGATGCATTCTGTATGAACTCTGCACCCTTAAACACCCAGTAAGTATGGCGTGCAGAAGGGGAAAGGCAGCTTGTCGCATCTGGCTAAGTCCTAAGTAATGTGTCATAATCCAGTTGGCAGTTTGCTTCTCTGAGATGAAGTCATTTTAAAAGTTTCCTCATGTTTCCATTGCCATCATCTTTGCCTTGAGCTACTTTTGTAGCATATACTAAAAGGAAAGGAAATTTCCTTTGTTCATTTCTGTATTGCCTTGCTGTGTTCCTTCTCTCCTCCCTTCCTTCTTTTT